CATGTCTTGAGTTGCATTCAACTTAGATCTAGCTACAGTGATTGGGGAAACCTAAGGTCTAAGGTGTTAGGGATATTTGGGGCTGCCAATCAAGGAGGTCCAAATGGGAGGATCTGATAACTCACGTGCAGGTAAATTCGGGATCCCAAAGATTAACTGTATTGAATTTGTACTGTATTTATTGTATTGCATTGTCATATTACCATTAAAGTAGATTATTGTTTACTTGGTAGCTCTGGATTTCTTCCTGTATTATAACCAGCTTGATAGGGACGTGCGGAGATTTGAAAAGCGGACCAGATATCCCTTTTAATCTCTAACATTACCTGTTTCTGAAGCAACCTGTGAATAATAAACTAATGCTCTTCAGCAATGATTCTTCTGTATTTATTTTTATCCTCTGGGTTTATCTTATGAAACCAGTGCAGGAACAGAAGACAAGGACACTCCCAGGTAAAGGGCAACACATATCTGTATAGAGGCTGAATACAGTAATACACTACAATTTTCACTTACATGTTAACCATGCTGCAGCAAACATGTCATTAAGCTGAAGGATTCAATGTTTACTGATGTGTGGGATCAGGTAAAGATGTGCAGACATAACAAAAAAACACCCTGCAACTCCTCACAAAATGCTGATGTTTTTAATTGTAATTTAGATGACTGGAAGCAAACATATCATATTTCCTCCCACAGCAGTTTGTTTTCTGTTTAAATTAATTTAATGCATATTTAAAATGTCAGCAGACTGAGATGAGACCACACTGGTGAAGAAAACTCTGTTAAAAGCTATGGTTAAAAGTCATGAAACAACATGGCCGCTCCTCTCGCTCCACCCTCCGGTCAAAAGCTGTCTTTTTGTTGTTGTTTATTTACCTTGGACAAGAATAGCTCTCTATTTTCTCAATTTGTTATCCTTCCAACATTTTTTGAGTATGATGGGAGGGAGCTTCATTTTCGTTTGTCTTACAAACTCCAAATCTTTAAAATATTAATATTGCGAACAAATGTTAGCAGTTATGTTCCTTTTACAAGCTATTTCTTAAAAACACAGTATGTATATATAAATTACATTTCCACATTTTCTGTGACCTTTGGATTTTTTTAGATTTGTGTTGATGGTCAATAGTTGTGTGTTTCTGTGTGTGAAGACAGGCTTGCTCCAACCTCCCTAAACTGTGAAGTTTTTCTCAGAAATCATGGATATGTGTTCTCTAAAAACATCTGTCCTGGGTTCTATGAAAAAACACTCAGATGTTAGTGCTTGTTGAAAGGGGCAAATAAGTTAAAGCAGCATTCTAGTCACTATACAATTTATCACACCTTCGCATTACCTCACTGAAGTTAAAAAACATCTCACAAAACAAAGGTTGACTTTAGATGTCTGAGTGTTTTATTGAACAACAACACGGTGAGAGTGAGCGATCAGCAGACAGAGGGTCAGCTCTAAAGACGCCGCTGTGTGCTTCAGTTAACTCTCAGGAGCCGCAGACAGAGAGAAGTCCCGCCCTGAAACAAGAAATAAATAAGTGTTGTAAGATCTTTTATTTTTATTTTCTTACCATACTTACTCAGTGAGTGAAGCACAGGCGAGCCTCTGTCCAGCGCTCTGAAGAGGAAACCCACCGATGACCTGCAGGAACACTGAGCCTCTCTATGAGAAATGAACAGTGACATTAATCATATTTGAGTTATTAAATTATCAATATTAAGCTGTTATCAGCTCTGTCTGCTCAAAGCTCGTCCTGCGTCATCATGGTCGCCAAGGTAACCCTGGACAGCAGGCGCTCAGGTGATAGAGAGGAGTAGAGACATATAAATAGTGGTTAGAAAAAATAAACATTATTAAAGTGATATATGTATGAATCAACAAGACTTACTGTGTGACTTTGGTGATTCCAAACTAACAAGTTTAAGTCAAACAAAATCACAAAGTAACTAACAGATGGAGGCAGCGGGAGACCAGCAGCTCCTGTGTTCTGCGAGATAAAATGACTGTTTAGTGAATGGAGTCTTGTGGCTTTGAAAGAGATAACGGATTCAGTTTCCTGTTTGAAAGAGCTTTCTGAGGGCACGTTAGGTTAGGTAAATATTTTAAATATAGCATCAGTTGAACATATATTGTTTTTTTTAGGTGGCCCTTTCTCTTAGATGGCTATATTATAGTCAACATTACATTCCTTAGTTTATGTGTTCTCTCATCAGCTTCTCTGAACTGAGAGTGTGCCGACAGCTATGGTGACACAACCCAACTTCAAACTATCCCATCTATCCCTTTAATAATTTGGACCTTTGAAGGCATGCAGGAGGCGTCCTTATAAGATGATGTTTGGCACGCTTTTGTAAGGTATTTTGGTTTGATGAGCTTTGCTCCTGTTGGTTGTTGTTGTTATGTATGTTTAAGGTGCATTAAGTGTTGATGGACAGGTAAAGGTGGTAGCGAGTATGTTCTTTACATTCACATATTACCTTTGCTTTCAGCCAACAATCAAAGGCCTAAAAGCAGGGGTGGTTTCAGTGGCGGTTCTAGGGGGGGGGCCAACAGGGGCCAGTGCACCCCTTCAAAAAAAAGGTTACAATATTACGATTTATTGGAACTAAATCAAATCAGAGACCCGGATGTACAGTGGTGATTAAACTGTTCATTACCTTAAAAAAGCAAATACCGTTTATGTTTTTTAATTAAATTGTCACTTAAAGGTGGGGTAGGTAGGATTCAGAAACCGGCTCGAGTGCACTAAAATTTGAAAGTACACAGCCGAAAAGAATCCGCCCCTTCCTTCAGACTTCGGCCCATTCCCAAACCGCCCCCTACACCCTACCCCTACACCCTACCCCTCCGTTTGCGCGTTCACGCGGAGGGTCCGCCATATTGAGGGCTGTTCCAAAGCAACGCGTGTGGAGGGGGAGTGGGCTATCAAGCCCTCAAACAGCGAGTCTGCAGCGGTGCTGACTTGAGACCGGTCTCTACCTGACCGGAGTCACGCTGTGTGTGTCCGTCAGGAAACACGCTGTTTACAAGTAGTTCCAGCAAACATCCACTGATAAACTGCGATGTTAACAACCTCATGATGACCTCATATGTTTTGAACTGAGGATCAAACCTGTGTTTAGTCTAGAAAAAGGTAAATGTGTGCATTTTATTATAAAGTTGTGTATATTTACAGACTGTTGTAAAAACTAAGAAGCTTATAAACATCAGGTTTAAAACTAAAAGAGCTTTGAAACACAATGAAAGATGTTTGGAGTTTTATTCGAGTTATTAATTTAAACTTTTTGTCAAAGAGATGCTGATTTGAAACCAGTTGTTACATACAGTTACGGCATTTCCTGTTTCTGCCGGAGAGAGGAGAGGCCGTCCCAAAGCTTGCTGCTGTGTTTACTCCCTCCATCTGACAGGAGGGAGCCTCGTTGAGCTGCGAGTGTGGCTACAGACGGAGTTCACTCCGTCACGGAGGGGTAGGGTCGAGGGAGTGGTTTGGGATTGGGCCTTACTTACAGAGCACCTCCTCCAACACACATGAACGTGCAATGCACGCCCAATTACGGCACGCCCAATGAGGGCACAAGATACATTTGTGCGTGCACGAGATGGAAGGCTGACAGACAGGGCGGCAATCCAATCCGTTTAGCTGGGCCGGCTAATCGGATTGGTCGTGCTTTTTACAGTATTACGGCTTCCACAGATGACATTTTTGTATGGATTTTTTGTCAAAGCACTTAAGATATTCATTGCTATCGGGATGTTAAGAGCATTCCATGGAATATAACAAAAAGTGTATCTCGAGCCGGTTTCTGAAATTTACCTACCCCACCTTTAACGTTACTAAAACAAATGAAATCACTTTAAATGAAAAAAACTACTGAAACAAAAGACTGTAACTTAAATGTACAAAAACAAATACCTTTACAAAAACAAATACCAATTACTGTATTTTACGTTTATTTTACACAATTACTTTATACTGTCTTTGTCTTTTTAACCCGCTTTTATTGTGCCCCTCTCATGAAATAACTGGCCCCAGCCTGGCACCCCCAGTAAAATTGGTCTATAACCTCCACTGGGTGGTTTACTGACATTCATGACTGTCTCTGTTTTAATTTGCAAGAAAAAGCCCCAGTTCCCCCTGTTTGCTTGGGATTGAAGAGTCAAGGTCAGAGCAGTTCAGCTTTCAATCGGGGACAGAAATGACTCTCCAAAAATGAATTATTCATTTTACAACAGCCTCACCTTGGAAATATGTATTTTACTTATTCTGCATGTGGCTGCCGGCAAAAACAACAAGAACCTTTGATTACTTGTTAGAACACTTTTCAGAAGGGAGAGGCTGTTTGAAGTAGTTTGAAGGAGATGTACTCTCTGCTTCTGGCTCCCTCTAGTGGTCATGAGAATATATATTCAAATAAGGATAAATCAACAAGACATTATGTATTGTCGCACAACTGAATGAAATCCTTTATTTTTCAACTTAATTAAACAATCATTTCAAACATTAAAAAAGGCACATCACATCCATATTCATCACGTTAATCATGAGAGTTTTCAGTTTGTGTCTTTAAGTATGGTTTTATTGTCGTTTTACATTTGTTTTATGTCCTACCTGGTTTTTATTTTTGTATTATATATTTATTGATGTACAGCACTTTGTTCAACTGTGTTGTTTTTAAATGTGCGGTAGAAATAAAGTTGGATTGGATTGGATATATACAAACTGAGCGAGAAAGAAAAAGATCAAATTAACACATACATCGATATTATAACGTAGATATTGATATAAATATAGGGCTCATTTTGCTATTTAGATTTTTTATTGAGATTTTGAGTACAATTTTTATAAAGAATGCAATAAATACGGGAGATTTTAAGGATAATACAATGATTTCTTCCAAATTCACTCTTTTTGAAGACCAAATTCAACCAAATAACGTTATCCAAAATAGGAAAGTAGTTGTAAATAGTTGCAGACACACAAAGAGAAAAAAAACACACAAGCCCAGAATGGTAATTTTTCTTTATTGTTTAAATTCACCAAAAAGTTTTCTGCATAACTACATCCAACAGCATTTATTGTTGTCGTCACTGTGACCTCCTCAACACCCGAGTGACGATAGTGTGACATCATCAGCGCTGCCATGATGTCACAGCATCATGACGTGGCTCAAACGGCAGAAAATAAACGGTCAATGCATCCCAGAGTCCGTTCGTCAATAAAAGCATCTCGCCGCTACCCGTGTAAAGCACAAACATTGCACATCAACTTATAGCATCAGTTGTCCTTCTTCAAATTCATTTCTGCTTGAAAAACCAAAACCCACCCACCCGTCTCTTCAACATGGATTCAAATAAAACAATAAACTTGAGTGGAAGTGGTTTCTTTTCAACATTAAATGGGTTTATACACTGAATATGACTTTAAATATGCTAGCTGCTGCAGATCTAGTGTTGAAAATGATTATTCAAAAAACCAATAGCACCGTGCACGCTCACAACGCTCCAGTACTGTCATCTCATTCCTTTGCTTTCTGCATCCACATCAAATATTTATCATGCGCAGGCCTACATTTAGAAAGGGGGGGTATTTTGAACAAGGTCTGAACTGGAGAAGATTATCAGTGTTACTTTCTACATAGACTTAGTATTAAATGTATATTCTAAATTATTTTCCCATAGTTTTCAAACTTGAGTCATAAATCTAGAGGCAGGGCCGTAGAAATTGTAAATTCTCCACCCTGTAAGAAATGTTGACTCCAAAAGTGTCTGAAAAATGTATTTATCCTATATAAATGTTTCTGTCAAAATAGATTTAATGCAAACTGTAAGTCCCTATATAACTGTCTCAACGGTCTAAGTATTTTAAACTGGGCATTTTTTTTTTGGTCTAACGCAGTCATATTGAAGAATTTGGGGAAAAATCTATTTCACAAGCGTTCAATAAAGTGTATAGTATTTTAGTTAAAAAGGTATATTCCACATTTTTTTACTGGATGCATTTACAGGTTCGGTCTTAGTTTAAGGTCATTTGATTGTTTGTATATTTATAGTATTTTAATATTCAATGCATGGTTTGGGCTTTTTTTTGTTAAAGTGCATGTTAAACTATACTTACTAACCTCTTCTATCTATACTAGTCTCTTTTCCCTGCTTTATATTTTCTATCTAATATATTATAATTGCCACTTTAACACAACACTGTATATCTTAGCTGTTTTCGGTCTACTTGGTGAGAAACATATGGCTATAATCTCCTTTAGAACCATCTAAATGATGAGGAGCCTAACATACAGTGCGCTTATAGGATTCCACTCCTCAGAAAAAATGAGGGTAAATGTAATTTAGACATTCTTTGTACTAAAAAATTGCATTATTTATGGCTATATAAGCTTTGTTCAAACATAAAGCTCAGTAAATGCAGTCTGCCTTTCTGCTGCATGCCACTCTAAGCACTCCATCCATTCCTTCAGTAATACTGTGATGTTAGTGAAAAAACATGATCCAGATGAAACTGAAATGTGCGCATCCTTCAGAAAGTCCAGGAAATTCAAAAACAGTCTTTCATCATAAACGCAGTTGAAATAAAAAAAATGGCGTCAGAATAAATGTCAAAGCAAAGCGTCCCTCCCACGGTACTTGCATAAAACTCTCCGTTAATCCTCTGCTATATACAGCAATATATTTAATCGTTACATATACGGCTCATCGGAGCCCAGCGAGTCTCTCCAACAGTACTACACCAGTGAGCCAATATTCCTCTTCACCAAGACCAAAAGAACCAAAGGTCAAAGTTTCCTTACACAGTAAAATACATTAGACATCTTTCTAAGAATAATTGGTGTGTTCACATAATTGGAACAGACCTGACTCAAACCAGAAGTGAAATCAGTTCAAATCCAAGTCATCAAATGTTTTTATCTCCTCAACTACGGTGGCCGACAGTGGTCCAAAACACTTCCAATAGGAGGAACGCGCTGTACTTTTACAGATGAGGTAAATATAAAAACAGGAATGTGCCAAAACACATGCAAAGGAAGAAAATATCTTCACCTATTTGAAGACACATGCCCAGCGTTTACAAAACACTGCAAAATACAAAAACGCTGCTAGAAGCTCAAAACACAACGGAAACTGGGAACCTAAAAAGTGATGCACACAGTTTGGCCGGAGCACTTGTTGACATTTGGGGATTATAAAGTTTGCCAACTGTCACAGAAAACTTTAAGTTTTATCGGCTTATTTAAAAAATGCAATCACATCCTGCCGGTATTATTGCAGATCTGCCGTTAGTTAGCTAACGTAGCTAACCAGGTCATTACAAATCCACTGACAAAACACTTACAATTATGAAACAGACTAACTCTGAGAGAGTGATAGTTGGCCAACTTCATAATCCCCAACGTCAACAAGCACTCATGTCCCCTCCTGTTACCTTTGTATTTTTAGCTTCTTGCAGCATTTTGTATATAAAGCGCTTTTAGTAAACGCTGCGCATGTTTCGTCAAGTTGGTGAAGACGTTTCTTTATTTGCATGTTTTAGCACATTTGTGATTTTACATTTGCATTGTTATTTAAACTGCAGCGCATTTCTCCTAATAGAAATATTTTGGGCCGTTGTAGCACGTTTGCACCTGTCGGCCGCCGTATGTAACAAACCCAAAGCAACAACAGAGCTGCTTGTGATTTCAATCAGAATATTTGACACAGGTCTGCCTAATGATTAGCAGACAAAAACTTCATAACTTCATCAGATGATGGACAGAACATTGTGACTCATTCCTGTTTTCAACACTGATTCTGATGAAAAGAAAACAAAGTCATTCTTTTTCAAAAGTACAGAAATGCCATCATAACCACAGAAAACTAAGCCGCCGATTTCTCTATTTTGAAGAATGTAATATATTTTTTGCCTTGAAATAAGGTAAGTGAAAGAGAAGCACTCGCTATGTTTTTTTTGTACAGTAATCCATTGATAATAATCAATGCACAAAAGTAAAAGACAAAAGCACACAAATATCCAAAAACAGAAATTTAGACAGCTCAAGACGAGAGATTTTTTTTCCCCTTTTTCCCATAAATATTTTTTTTTCTCACCTAAAATACACATATTAACCAGCTGTACAATGTTAGGAGGAATTGTGGATTCATCAAAAAAGCACAGTTTTAAGTCAGTCCAGCTTTTACTGGCTTTCTGGAGGAAATTGGAGTCAAGTCCAGGATGGTCCAGTCCGGCTCAGGAGGAGCAGACTGGGGGCCACAGCAGGGGCCCTCGAGCACTTGTAGCGCAGCGCTGGGGGCCTTCGTTTGTTGGGCAGATGGCAGGTACTGTACGATGATTGCTGGGGCAGAAAAAGCTAGTTCAAACGTCGCCCTGTGCAGCTTCACGCAGCTCAGTTCAGCAGTGTGAGGGGGACGTATGATGGTGGTCTCCACGAAAGAGGCGGTCTATAAAGAGGGGCCAGTGAGGCTGGGGGGCTCAGGGAGCAGGAGTCTGAAGCAGAGCTTTGTCAGGATGAAGGGGCTTTCTGGAGGATGAGAAACGCTGCGAGCTGCAGGTGAAGAGGCTGAGAAGAAAGAGGGTTGGGGAGGGGTGATTCATAAATCCAACAGGAGGACAGCCTGGCCGAACTGAAGGAGGGGGGTGGGGGGGTAAAGCTCAAGAGAGTTTTCAGTGAGAGGGAAGTCCAAAGAGACACCTGGAGAAACACACATCGGTCAAATATAACATGTTTGTTCATGCAGTTTTCTATTAGTGTCCTTTCAGTAAAAAGCCTGGACACACCAGAGTTTAAAAAGGCTTTAGTAACCAATTTCACTGCTATGTGAAACATACAATCCTATTTCCACAAGTTATTCATGTTATCACTAGCTACCCCTTCATTTACTTTTATACATTCACTTTCATTATGCTGCTACTTATTTTTTAGCATGGATTTATACTTATTTAATTGTTTTCATTCATATGTGCCTCTTCTTTTATTTTGAATGTATTTATTTATTTTTAAGATATTTGTATGGGCCAGAGAGTGCCTTTATTGATAGATGCAGGGTTGAAAGGGGGGGGGGGGGGCGTTGCCACATAGTTCTGTGAGCCGGAGTCAAACCCACTTACTGGGCAACGGACTCAGCAATTGGACGACAGCTCTGACCACTGAGCTATCCAGATTCCCTAATTGTTTTTATTTAATATGTTTAGCTATTAATCTTTAAAGTGCTTTTGTCTGCTCTGTCCCCTTGTTGTAATAATGAAAGTGTTTCTCGTTGTGGGATGAATAAAGGATTTTTGAACCTTTCTGAACCTTTATAAATGGTGTTGTTGACCAATAGCAAGCTGACAGTGCTGGAGATTGGGGGATGGAGAACCAGAGAGTCCAAAATAAAATACGCTTAATTGGATTTTTAACTTAGTTCCACTGTCCATTTTTATATATACTCCTCTGTTTGAACTGCTCCAGTAAAGAATAATGTATGCAGAATACTTCTTTGAATAAACTGTGTGAACTCTCTGTCCCCTTAGCGACTAATTGTGAGTTTGCAAACTGACTATTAGCAAGTCTGTTAGCGCCGGAAGCTGTGTTTTCCCTCTACAAAACTCCTTATCGCATAAATGATGTAAAATGATATCAGTCAAATTGCGACATTTGAATAAAGTAGTGATCTATTACCATATCGATTTTTCTATAAGTGTAGCATATGCGATTATTAGCATATTCTTTGTTTGTTCTTTACAACACTTTAAAAGGTACACAATCTCCGCACCCTGTTGCATCAAATTAAGGGTTATGTTTCACAGAGTTTTGAAAAACATTTTTTTTTACTTTCTGCAAATAGAGAACATTTCCTAAAATAATGAATGAACGAATATACCTAACTTTATCAAAATGTTCACCTTAGGTGCCCAGCATCTTGAGGTATAGATTGATTTTTTTATATAAAAAACCCCTCTCCAATCAATATAAACCATGACAACCTAACACAGCAGTGCTGAGATGTTCCCACCCACCGATGTGTGCGCTGCTCCCCCTCAGTGTCGCCGCAGAGCTTCAACAGATGGTTTCAAGATGATGGGAGTTCTGCGGGGACAAGAGAGGACATGCTTCACACACTGAACAGACACCAGTGTTTACAGCTTGTCGTGTATTAAAGTACAACATGTGTGTGTCTCACTGGTGTGTCGTTCCACTGCCGCGGCAGGTCCTCTGGCTCGGGGGGGTAGGACATCCAGGACGGGCTCCGATATGAGGACGGCGGCGACATGACGAAGTAATCCGAGTACCCGGGGCGGTTGGCAGATATAGCGTAGACGGCTGTGATTGGGTTTCCTGTCAGGTGTAGACGTTTGTTTAGCAAATGAACTTCACTTATAATGCATTTCAACAGCAGCACTCTGTCATACCCACACTCATAAATAAATAAAACGTCGACTTCGGTGTATTTTGACAAAAGATTACACATAATTGTATTAGGTTAGTTGGAAGCAATAATATTATGTTCAAACAAAAACAAAATTAGGTTCAACTAACTTAATACAATAATCTGTTGACAAAATACATTTGATTAAAGTCAACGGTTCATTTTTTGAGTTCAGGGGTTGAATTGCGATTTGTTATGTTGGGTGGGATGGGTGGGATACAAATGATCATGTGTGATGATAGCCAATATATAATCACCATTATTTTGATATTATTTACACTTCCATAATCTGCTGCAATGCTTCTGATCAAAAAAAGGTCACTTTTTACGGCAATTTGTCATAAACGGAAACAAGTTTAAATGAAGTTAATTACACTACTTTGAGATCAAGAGGATCATGAATAGGATATACAATATTGTGCTCTTGCAAACGTTTTATAGTAAACACCATATCATATGTGAGTGGATTATAACACAGAATATAGTGAGGTGCAATGAGGGTGAGGGGCTCACAGCCAGAGCAGCAAACAGCTGTTGACAGCTCTCCAAAAGGGAAGTCCAAAAACCTCTCCAACACTGGCTGTAGGTAGCGCTTGATTTGATCAACAGCTGTTCTTTTCTATCTTGAAAAACGCGCTTCTTTTAAACATAAATCTTTAGAGACGTGAGGGGCTGATGACGTAAGAGCGTTGGCCGATGTGCCGTGTTCTGAGTCTCATACCTGAGTAGTTGGAGATGGACTGGTCCACGGTGACAGCGGGGAAGGGGGTCCGGGACAGCGGCAGGTAGGGGGCCCCGTTGTGCTGCTGGGCCTGCAGGTCGGGGACCTCTGACACACGGGGCTTCAGACTAACATCAGGGGTGGAGCTGAGAGGAGAGGGGAGGAAACACATGGCAATCACACAACTATTAAATACATTTGCATGCTTTTTACTGCAGGGTTTTAATACAGCAGCTCAAATCAAGCTCAAACATAGAAGAGAGGGACGGATAGGTCGAACTGGTCAAATCAGCTTTGAACTCTTAGTACTTTTATCATATGTTTCTGGTGCAAAAAGATAGACAAAATAGAACTGCTAGCTGAGAAGTCATGTTTTTTTTTCTTTTTATTCAATTACGTATCTCTATGCATACACCAAGTATAGTATACTTCAGTCATGGGCATAAACAGACTCCACTGCATAACCTACTGAAGCCATGAAAACAAATGTTTCCAGGAAAACCAAGAAGGGACAAAGATAATCCAATATGTATTAAATATAATAATCTCAGTTTATTTAAATTCACCCCCTTTTAGGTCAACCAAAACAAATTCCCCTTCTCTTAGGCTAGCCAAAATAAATATATAAAGTATTTAATATGTCCCCACCAGACTTATTATCCCTGGTAATAAGGATAATCATTTGCAACTATACCTTCATGCTGAAATAAAATGACAAAATACACAATATATAAGATTATTAAATATTATATTTCTTTTTGAAATAATAGTTGTAATTTTTTCTTTGACTCATCTCCCTAGCATCTAAATAATATCTTTGTAGACCAATATCTGTAATATTCTCCTCCTCCTTATCTACTGTCCTCTCCTCTGCACTGTTCCAACACTAACCCTGGAACATGCTACACTACAGCCGCACGCCGCAGGGCAGAGGATGTCATTGCCAGCTAATGCCCTGGACCATAATGCAGTGCTGTGCACACTAATGCGTCACCGTGCATACTAAGGAGCAATTACACTGCACTGTCCCTGCACGGAGGATCTGATTTATGACAAGCTGACTCATTAACTGCTTTCTATTCCTGGTTTTCAGTAACAAAAGTAAGCCACATGCCATTTAAATCAACAGCGATGTATCTGCCATACAAAATACAAATTACAAATATTGAAAGTTAAATTGTTTATTTTAAATATATTTGTATTGCTTTTTTCTGCAGTACATCACAGATGGAGCTTGTTACTATGGGATTAGTTTTGTATCATAAAGATAAAGCAACACTTTATCAGAATAAAGCAAAACTATGAGTTTAAAAGAAGAAAAAAACTGAGTCAAGCAAAATAAAATAAATTTCAAAAATAAAACTATAAGTTGCAAACAAATCATTTGTGTAATCATGTAAACTATAAGTCTTTTTTCTTTGTTTTAACATAGGTTTTTGTTTGCAGTTCTTGTTTCTTATTTCTCAATGATCAGACTTTTGCTCTCGCTGCAGCTCTCTCGTTTGCGCTCCCTCATTTTTTGTTTTCGATTTTGACACAAACATCCCAGGTGGGCGGGACTTTCAGGAGTGCGTCCCCATTGGCTACTCAGTTTTTGAGTGACAGCCCAGTCCTCCAGCGAGTGCAGGCAGCTGCGGTGCGGTAGCTAGCTGAGCGTGGACAGAAGACCCCCAGAAGAACCAGCATTTCAATTATTATAATACTACAAGTGAAAATATATGTAAGTATTGATCATTTGTGTTGTTTGTACTATACGGTCTGTTTCTTTATTGTGTTAAGTGAGAAGTAAAGCTGTGCTATGAAAGTTAGCTTGTGCTACCTTTAGATCCATAACAATGCAAGCTAAGTAGCCTAACAGTTAGCTACATAGCTAGCAGTGAGTGAGCGTTCAGACACCGGCGCACACACTCAAACGGACTCGTGTGCCTGACTCTACCAACAGGTTTTCATGATTCTGTTTAGATATGCAAGTATAAGCCACGATATCTTATTTTATTAACACGCTAATTTGATATGAAAATCAATGGAGGCTGAGTTAACTTTGTAGGAAAACCTACCGTCCATGAGCTGTGTTTTATTTGTTAACTTCATATTTTTCATTTCCTAAAACATTTATTTTCCTCTCATATTAACAGTGTGGATCATTGAGACAGCGTGGCGTCCAGAGTCTTATCCCGTTTGCCCACTTCCTCTGAGGGGACAGCACGGAGGGGGGGCATGAAGAAAGAACTGCACCAGCTTCATCCACGCTGGCGTTACTGTTATCACTGGCTCAGTGTCATTTCATTTGACCAAATGTCTTTACATATACATTTAATAGATTTAATTATTATCCACCTTTTTGTTTTATCTCCTTTTATTTAAAACATTCTTTGAGACTTCATCTTCTGGTTCAAATTTCAATAAATGTAATTTGTATAATCACTCTTTTGTCTTTATTCTACATGAAAATGTTAGAGATTCCATTCAAATCTGTTGATTATTCATATGTTCCTCAGGCTAGGAATAGTATGTCGAATTTGTAATGCTAAATGTACATCATTTTCTCACAGGATATAGAATGAAACCACCGATTTTATCCATTGTGTATGAATGCTTCAGCTCTTCAGACCAACATAGTAAGATGTGAGCATGTTCCTAATTGTGTTGGTATGCAACCGGTCTGGTCTGTTTAATAAAGCAAATCTGCCACTTTTATATTGCAGAATGTGTTCAATTAAAGCAGTCTTTAATTGTTTGTCCTAAACATAGCAATATATGCTTTTGAAATGTAACATGTCTTTGAAAAATAATAGTATACAGTTTATATAGTGTATCACCTTTAGCTTAAAAATACATAGATGTGTTTTTTTAATCTATAAAATAAATAGACAGACACTTTATCAATCCCAAATTAGGAAATTATTGAACAGCAGCACTGTGTTCAGGTATTCAAATATTTAAAGTTGGAATAAAGTATGAACTACACATCACAAGTACAATGCACTGCAATCCATAAGGTAAGTCTGATATGTTCAGGAGACACCGACACTAACGTGGCCGAGTGGACTCCGGAGTTTGCTGCATGAGTTGCACCAGCGCCATATAGACTATGGCGCTGGACTGAACTGTATGATCTGTGGTGTAGTGGGCTGTCACTCAAAAGCTGAGTAGCCAATGGGGACACACCCCTGAAAGTCCCGCCCACCTGGGATGTTTGTGTCAAAATCTCAAACAAAAAATGAGGGAGCGCAAACGAGAGAGCTGCAGCGAGAGCAAAAGTCTGACCATTGAGAAAGAAGAAACAAGAACTGCAAACAAAAACCTATGTTAAAACAAAGAAGAAAGACTTATAGTTTACATGATTACACAAATGATTTGTTTGCAACTTATAGTTTTATTTTTGAAATGTATTTTATTTTGCTTGACTTAGTTTTTTTTTCTTTTAAACTCATAGTTTTGCTTTATTCTGAGAAAGTGTTGCTTTATCTTTATGATACAAAACTAATCCCATAGTTTACGAGGTTAAGCGTTATTTTCTCAGTTTGTCCACTAGATGGCAGGCACGCCCCTCCCTGCAGTCCACAAACAGCAGAACAGTCAATCACTCTCTGCAGTGCTAAAGTGCCCCGCAACATGGTGCACAGCAACAGCATTTAAATGAAGAAGCTGCTCAGATCAAATGAAGCGGACTAACATATGGGCCTGAGAGGGAGAGGAAGGGGAGGAGAGTTGACTCATGTGATTGCTGATTAAAATTCATTAGTTTTAATTTTTTGTTCCTGTGCACTCTCCAAATATGAATCATCTGATACTGTGATTAGCCCCAGTGCTGCACTCTGATTGGCTATCAAGTCATCCAGGAATACTTTTAAAGCCACATGAGAGCATTTATTTTTCATGCTAATAGCAAAGTGGATATAAAGTTGTGGTAGATATTCAACTTAAAAACAGCTGCGTATATTCCGCCACTCGCCGACAACAACACGGCACTAGGAGAGTTGTTTGGATTTATAGACAGCATGGAGACTTCACGGCCAGAAGCAGCATTCATTGTAGCAGGGGATTTTAACACCGCTAACATGAAGAAGGTCCTATATACCGAAGTAGGCTACTACCAGCACATCAGCTGTCCGACACGCGGGGAAAATATACTGGACCATGTTTATTCCCCTTTCAAACATGGTTATAAGGCTCTCCCTCGCCCTCCCTTCGGTAAGACCACATCTCACTACTACTGCTGCCTGCTTACAAGCAGAAACTTAAACCGGAAACAACAGATGGAGTTAGGAGTCGGATTCAGCTCTGCAGGATTGCTTTGCCGGAGTGGAGTGTGTTTGAGGACAACAACATCAACACACACACGGATACGGTCATCTGCTACATTGGGAAATGCATCGATGACGTGGTACCGAAGGTTTCTGTACAAACAAACATTCCCAAATCAAAAGCCCTGGATACACGGCGAGGTTCGTACCAAGCTGAAAGCGCGCACAGAGCTGGAGATTTGGAGGAGTTCAGGTTTTCTAGGTATGAACTCCGGAGAGCAATCAGCAGCGCAAAGAGACAATACAAAGACAGGGGCCCTTTCTCATTTCTCTAACTCCCCTCCTCGACGGAGGAGGGGAACCGAGGAGAGGAGGGGAAGCAGCAGGCGGTTAGAGAAATGAGAACTCCTCTCCTCTGAGCGGTCATTTTAAAGAGACGTCCATTAATGATGACAGGTGGCACAGCAGCCCTCTGTCTGATGGACAGATGTGTTCATGATGACTTATATATTTACTTTTAATTCATTCACCGTGCGGTATAATGAGACAATAACAGGCTACAGATGCGGACACACACATACACACACACACACACACACACACACACACACACACACACACACACACACACACACACACACACACACACACACACACACACACACACACACACACACACACACACACACACACACATATAAATATATACCATTTCAGAATCAAACAGAGCACTCTCATAATAACATAACACTATCAGAGACTGGATATATCCCCCCCCTCTCTGGTCGCTACAATGAGGGAAATAAATTACGGGCCAAAAGTTTTATTTACAAGTATTAAAAGTAAGCAGAGGACACCAAACCAACTGAGACCTGTCTGTCCGCTGCATCTACGCACTGTACAACACACACACCTACACACTGTACCACACACACCTACAGCTCCTAAAGCATATTATCAGGCTACAGCCGTTGTGTATTTTATTATGTGAAGCACTAAATGGTTTTAGAAAAATATCGACTCTTTGTTTGTAGATATCTACTAAACAACAGCAAATAAAGAGAGTAGGCCTGTTATACTGAGTGATATATATTATACACACTGCTCTGCTTTCTGCACGGACCTCACAGCTGTTCTCTCTGTAAACATTGCGTTGCGATGAGAGCAGTTAATAAAATAATATCCAGGGGATGCATGCAGAGCTGTCATTGGCTGAGATAAGTCCGGCCGTGCGTCACGACGCTTTGAAACAACTCTGTTCCCGGAAATGCATCCACGAAGGAGCCGTGGAGGACTGTGGAGGACCCATCAGTGTATCCTCGGTTATAGCTCCTCCAGAGAGACTCCTCGACGCTCGATCCTCGGTCCTCGAAGTGCATTGAGAGAAATGAGATGTCCTTCAACATGGCGCGCTAAAATTCATTTCCGGGTCACTACCGGAGGACCGAGGAGTCGAGGAGTCGAGGAGGGGGATTTGATTAAATGAGAAAGGGCCAAGGTGGAATCTGACTTCAAAGGCTGTAACACCCGGAACATGTGGGCGGGACTAAGAACAATGACAGACTGCAAAGGAGCAGCGGGGGGTGCTGCGGGAGTGTCTGCGTGCGCATCTCTCCCAGATGAGCTGAACAGTTTTTTTTGCACGATTTGAGAGCAGCCAGGCTGGGGGTGCGGAGAAGGATCAGGAGCCCTGCCCTTTTGTTTTAAACAGGGCAGATGTGTGCAAATCCTTTAAAAGGGTTAACCCACACAAGGCTCCTGGACCTGATGGCATCCCTGGCCGTGTTCTCGGGGTGTGTGCAGTTCAGCTGGCTGAGGTGTTCACAGACATCTTCAACAGGTCCCTGCTGCAGTCTGTAGTCCCCACATGTTTCAAACACTCCACCATCGTTCCTGTCCCCAAAAAAACAATAACCACCAGCCTCAATGACTACCGCCCAGTAGCACTCACCTCCATCATTATGAAGTGCTTTGAGCGGTTAGTCAAAACCTTCATCTCCTCCTCCCTCCCTGACTCTCTGGACCCCCTGCAGTTTGCCACAGACGACGCCATAGCCCTCACCATCCACACTGCCCTCTCACACCTGGACCAGAGGAACACATATGTGAGAATGCTGTTCATTGATTACAGTTCAGCATTCAACACCATTGTGCCCTCCAAGCTGGTCATCAAGCTCAGAGACCTCAGGCTCAACAGCGCCCTCTGTGACTGGATCCTGAACTTCCTGACGGGCAGACCCCAGGCAGTGCGGGTGGGAAACATCACATCCTCCACCCTGATCCTCAACACCGGAGCCCCTCAAGGCTGCGTGCTCAGCCCTCTCCTCTACTCCCTGTTCACTCACGACTGCGTGGCCACACACAGCTCCAACACCATCGTGAAGTTTGCTGACGGCACGACCGTCATCGGCCTGATCACAGACGGCGACGAGACGGCGTACAGAGAGGAGGTCGAAAACCTGACATCTTGGTGCCAGGGCAACAACCTCCATCTCAACGTCAGCAAAACAAAGGAGCTGATTGTGGATTACAGGAAGCAGCAGAGAGAGGGACACGCCCCCATCGCCATCAATGGGACTACGGTGGAGAGAGTCAGCAGCTTCAGGTTCCTCGGTGTCCACATCACTGAGGACCTGACATGGACTCTTCACACCACCACCATCACCAAGAAAGCTTGACAGCGGCTCTTCTTCCTCCGCAGGCTGAGGAGGTTCAACATGGACTCCAGGATACTCTGCAACTTCTACAGGTGCACCATAGAGAGCATCCTGACCTTCTACAGGTGCACCATAGAGAGCATCCTGACTGGCTGCATCACAGCCTGGTACGGCAGCTGCACCGCCCTCAATCGTAAGGCTTTACAGAGGGTGGTGAAAACTGCACAGAACATCACCAGGACGGAGCTGCCATCCATGGAGGATCTTTACTCCCAGCAGCTCAGGAGGAAAGCCCTTCGGATTATAAAAGACCCCCATCACCCCAGCCACAAACTGTCTGCTGCCGTCTGGCAGGCGTTACCGCAGCATCCGGACAAAAACAACCAGATTCGGAGACAGCTTCATCCCACAGGCAATAAGAATATTAAACAACTGAACTGCTGAAACAATTTAATAACATTCATCTGCTACTTAGTAATTATTTATCTATTATCTAATATATCATTCCAATAACTTGTATATAGACTCGTATTGCACTATTCCACTTTTTTTTTCCTCACTTTTTTTAAACTATTTTTCTTTTTGTATTACTCTTAAAGGTGGGGTAGGTAAGTTTGAGAAACCGGCTCGAGATACACTTTTTGTTATATTCCATGGAATGCTCTTAACATCCCGATAGCAATGAATATCTTAAGTGCTTTGACAATAAATCCATAAAAAAATGTCATCTGTGGAAGCCGTAGTACTGTAAAAAGTACAACCAATCATCTGAGCCGGCCCGGCTAAAGTAACTGGATGGCCTACCTGCCTGTCAGCCTTCCATCTGTGCACAAACTTATCTCGTGCCCTCATTGGTCATGTGTGTGTTCGTGTGTGTTGGAGGAGGGGCTCTGTAAGGAAGTGGCAGATTTTCTCCGGTTGTGTATTTTCAAATTCTAGCGCACTCGAGCCGGTTTCTCAAACTTACCTACCCCACCTTTAATATAGTATATTTTAATATTGTTTTAATATGCTTATCTGTATTATTGTGTTGCATTGTTGGAGAAGCCTGTGACCTATGATTTTCAACGACATAATTACTCTGTAGCTATGTTAGTTTGACAATAAAGAACCTTGAACCTTGAACTGATATTAAATTGGTTTGGATCGTGTCTTTTTTAATGTTTGTGTGTCTGTATTTGTGTGCTACCGTCGTAATGAGGTCCCAGGTGGGGGTCCTGGTCTGGAGGGGATCAGAGGCGGAGGAGATCCGATGCCCATATCAGGAAGCTGGGTGAAGCGGAAACCCTGCAGAAGCCAAAAATAAAACTTAGAGAAATATTCACTAGCATCTGGACTCTAGACAGTAAGAAACATAAAGAAAAAGAGGGAAAGGATTAACAGGCAAACGAAGAAGGCTAGAAAATAAGATGGGTGTCTGATTGAAGAAAACCAAAGATAAAAGCAGACCGGAGCTGCATGAGGCTGTTGTCGTTGGTGGTTTGTGTTCAATCCACGTCTCTTTAATCTCTGCAAAGCTTCTCTCTTACTGAATAGCTGCACACAGAGCACTAACAGTAAGCATTTCTGCATTCTTACGGATCAACTGACAATTTGGAATTATTGAATTATTAAAGGTTGTGTGGTTGCTGACCCTATCTGCAGATAGTGATGTTAAGTAACTCTTTATACTTACCTCTTAAATACTGTAAATATGTACAATTTTGAGGGACTTGTACTTTACTTGAGTATTTCAATTGTTTGCCACTTTGTACCTCTACATCACTACAATTCAGAGGTAAATCGTGTACTTTTACTCCATTACATTATTAAGTACCTTTAATTACTTTACAGATTTGGATTAATGATGTGAAATATAATCAAGTGTTAAGTCAGACTTTAGTTCCACCTGGAGTAATTCACAAGCTACCCTGCAGTATATAAAGTAATTCAAACTAGCTGCACCTTTACCAGCTTTGAGAACACTTTAATGATCAATCATTATAAAACATATCATATATTATTCTGAAATGGAACAATCTGCACAATGACTAATTTTACTTTTGGTACTTTAAGTATATTTTAATGCTAATACGAATAGAATTTGAAAGCAGGACTTTTACTGTAACAGAGTATTCCTACACTCTGGTACTCCTACTTTTACTTAAGTACACAATCTGAGTACTTCTTCCACCTCCGTCTGCAGATAATAACTCCATGTGTGCAAAATATATATAAAACCTGAAGATGTATAATTGGCTCAAGGAGGTTTTTTGTTTACTGGCACCATTACTCAGGCTTCAACTTTGTCTACATGTTTTTAATTAGCATAGCATTGAATATTTGGTCACTGAGTGCTGACCCGAATGCTGATTTATGAGTGTCTAATAACAAAAACATGAACTCAAGGACTGAACTTGTGTAAATACTTGCACTTCGTTTTAATATCCTCATTTTGTGCAGCATGGTACTCCTACTTATATTCTATTTCCTCTACTTTTTTTGGTGCAAAATCTTTGATGTGCTCATAAAATAACAAATCTATGATCCCAGTAGTAATTAAAAAATAAGCATGATACGGACTTACAAATTATTTCATTAATAATTAACCATTCTGAACTTATGAGTACATTGTGATGTATTCATTGGATTTCTCTAAGCCTATATAATACATTATTAATATAAACAGTGGATTCAAAGAATATATGTTGAATAAACATTTTCATTGCAAATATTGAGACTCTCTAAATCCTTTTTTTCCAACAATGATTAGTTAGTATATTTAATCGTATTTAATCATAAAGAAGGAAATAATTATATTTGATTCAGGCAAAACTATGGTAAAATAATTCATTGTGGTAAAATGCATACTTGTCACAAGAGTTTGTGATGTATGTCATATGGTTACCTTTCGTAATCTATTCTCTTCATAGAATCTCTCCTGTTAATACGTTTTATTTCAACTACTTTTTGAAGACATTTTCAAAACAGCTTGTCAACAGCACCACATATGGAATTTCATTTATCTCCATTGTATTAGGGTAGAGTTACAAAACAAACAATGACATACTTCAAGAACTGGACTCATAGTTCTATTCGTTCTCTGTTTCCCTGAAATTGCCTGTTCCCTCTCATTTGGGTCTGCTTAAAATGTCTCTTTTTATGTTTACACCTTCGTCAATGCTTCCTTCCTTTGTTTCCATCAAGCCGCTTATAGCGCGTTTCCACTGCAGCGGGTAGCCCCGTTTAAGCGTCCTTAACCGTCCTCAAGCGGCCAGGCCGGTTTTTGGTGGCGTTTCCATATAGCCTAGTACCGGCCAGCGGGTACTTTTTCCCTCTTTTTCCGGCCTCATAAAATCGTGGTTCCCTCAGACCAGGGCCAGGGCTGAACTAGTGACGTCAACACTCTCGACTGCTGATTGGTCAGAGAGAATCGTCACAAGATTGCGCGCGAGTTCATCCCTAGCGTCGCATATATATCTAGAAGCAAGCTTGCAGCATTTTTATACACAGCATTTTGTAAACGGAGGAGCTACAAAAATGGCTACGTCTAATAAGAAAAGCACACCGTGGTCGACCGAGGGGGTGACGACGTTCCTACATCTCATTGGGGATGATCAAATCCAGCGGGAGCTCGACGGAACAACTCGAAATGTGAACAAAAACAAAGCCGATCGCCCCGCCTACACTGCGTTGCTACCCCAGGTCCTAAACTGTAATGGAAATGCGCCACGGCCTGGGCCGGCCAGCGAGGCAGCCCGAGGCCAGAGTGAGGACGCTTAGGGACGCTTAAACGGGGCTACCCCGCTGCAGTGGAAACGCGCCATTAGACGCCTTAAACAGACAGTGCTAAGGTGTTATCATTCGTTTATTTGTTTTAACTTACAGTTGTTTACTTGTTTGGCTTCCCATGATGCGGACTCGCGTTTATTCACAATAAAATGATATACTTTCGAAACACATTCAACACAGAAAATAGGCCTTTACAACAGTCCAACAAATCAAAACAAAAGAGGCTGTGACTCGACGGCGTGGGTAATGTAGTTCTTTATAGTCTCGACTACAGAGGTCATGATTATGTTACAAAAGTTGGCCTTTTTCTTTAAATAAAAACAAAAGACGTGAACAGTCATATTTTGGTGTTTTGAACCTTTTAGAGAACTTTATGACTTGTAGGGTGTCGTGAAAGGCCCCTCCAAATAAAATGTTTCATTATTATTTGTTATTATTATTATTATTCCTAGTGCTTCTCACCGGTTTAGGCAGGCTGCACTGGTGCATGTCCTCGTAGCCGCTCCTCTGCCGGCCCCCACAGGGATGGTTCATGGTCCCAGGGGCGCTGGTCACCCCGTCGCTGTAGTGGCTGGTGTGGGAGGGATTGTAGGCCCTGTGGGCGTGGTGGTGGTGATGGCTGCTTTTAAGAGAGAGGAATATTAACAAAAACATTAGTGGACAGTAACACTCCCACTCTCTCTGGTTGTTCTCTGGTGTACTTTATGAAAAACAGCGTGGGGTCACAGACATCCTGTTTCTCTCTCTATTCTGTAGTTTAAAACATGCAGATGTGCTTAGAAATAAATCATGTGTAAATGTACTTGGTAGGAGGAGAAGGGGGGTCGTGGTCCGGAGGTGCCAGGCTGAAGGCGTTGCCTAGCAACATGTGCATCTGCGTGCGAACTTCATCAATGGATGGCTGGGAGCTGAGCGTGGAGGAGTCGGAGCCGCGGTGAGCTTTCACCCCCAGGCTGCCGGTGCCGGTGGATCCGCCTCCGTAACCCAGGGAGCTCATCAGCCGGTCTACGTTGGTCTCCTCAAACGGTTCAGCCTCGCCCTGCAGGGTCAGCGGGACAGCGGTGACGTGAGGACAACCAAATCACACGTGATCCTGACAAATCAAGTCACCACCTCTGAGCGACCGTACGGTAAGAAGTTCTGGTTCCCTAAGAACTAATTCTCTGAGGAGTATACGAGGGATGTTGGTGTCAGTCTGATCAGCTCCCAGAGTGACGGGAACACTGGATAAACTGAACTGGCTAACTGTCAGACAGACTAATGCAATGTTAAAATGTTTCCAGAAATATTACAGTGACACACTTACCACATATATTAATACATATGTTTATATAGCAGTATGCTCAACATAACTATCAAACATGACATGCAATAGAAGGAAGGTTCATATCACCCAAAACTAAATCAAATATCAAACAGAAAACAGTCACATGCAGAGCCACAGTCAACTGGAATACATTGCCGGTCCATATCATGTACATTTCAAAAGTTTGCCGATAAATCATCTCCGTATCATAGAGTATAATTTAACTGTGTGTCTGTGGCTATGTACAATTACTAGTATTATTTATGTTTTGCTCAATGATGGTTAAAATAGGATAATCATGTTTGTGTCGTCCTACGTGCACGTATCTTTTGTGCAATTTGACTTTCAGCTAAACACCTTCCACCATCAAGAACTAGAGACTGTAGATGTCCTTTAATTGCTTTTAATGTTGAAGAAAGGGTGAAACTAGTAACAAAACACAATACAAGAAGTACATAAATATGCAAAAGAATATTTACACACATCATACATCATACATTTAATTAACACCAAAGAACATACACACACATGGCTGTAGCACAAAATTATGGCTGTTGCTAACGGTAGTTCTACAGAGGAGTTTACAACACACATTAACTATCATCCCAAAAATATTCTCTATAAATATTATTAATTGCTTCACATATTAACTGGAAATGAAAGAACACTATATCACTTGTACATACCAATAATGCGACCAAGGGCATGGAACGTCAAGGATTAGAGCGGATTGTAGTCGATAAAAAAACATGTGGCTGTCCTGTTCACATGTTGCTTCCTCACTAGGTCACATGTTACATATTTTACTAATTTCAACTACTGCCAACCGGGGGAGATAAATCCAACGAATTAACAACAATGTCCTGATGAAGACAAAACACTCCTTGCCTGGTATCTATAGATAACACCTATTCATTTTGCTTCTAAATATCCATGTTCGAATGTCACTACTTGCTCTTGTAGTCTTCCTCGGAGAGGAGAAGGACTAAGTCTGTAATAGGTCTGAGGAAAAGCTTAGCACCATCTTCTCTGGAGATCTTGACCTCTACGATGTGGACCTTTTTCATCTTTGCTCGGGAATGCCTTGGTGACTAATGCCAATGGCATTGTCTCTTGGCTTGAGAGTCTTTCACAAGAAAAATAGTTCCAACATCAATGTTTGGCTTGCTTCTGTGCCACTTACTCCTTGTCTGCAAAGTTCAATTAATCAATCAATGTTTATTTATATAGCCCAATATCACAAATGTTACATTTGTCTCAGTGGACTTCACAGTTTGTACAGAATATCAGTATGACAATACGACACCCTCTGTCCTTAGACCCTCACATCGTACAAGGAAAAACTTCCAGAGAAAACCCAAAGTTTTAAAGGGAAAATGGGAGAAACCTCAGGGAGAGCAACAGAGGAGGGATCCCTCTCCCAGGACGGACAGACGTGCAATAGATGCCGTGTGTAAATCAAAAAGATAATAAATGTACAGCATAGGTAGTCCAAATGTTTGGAAATGCATGTGTCTATAATAAGAAGATGAATCCACGAGGATGTCAACAATCCTGTGGGAGCCATCAGGGAAGTAGTATGATGAGAGCCAGGCAGGACCGCAGAGACAGGTTCAGCCACGACTCGAAGTCCAGGACTCAGATCCAGTGCTCAGGATAGAAGATCCAGGACACACGACCACAGCAAAATGATTGAGGTTGAGAGGTACTGCTTCCTCCATTTGTTCCAAAAGGCATCTGCAAGGAATTGAACCTGACGCCAGTGACGCTTGTACAGGTCTTTGGGGGTGAAATCCCCCGGAGGAGCTGAGAAGGTACCTTTCTTCTGTGTGAGTAGGGTAGCAGGGGTCAGTACCAATGGATCTGGAGGATCGGTGGATATTGGACCCAAGGGTCTTGCATTCATGATGGCCGTGACTTCTGCCAAAAGAGTTGTGAGAGCCTCATGTCTCTCCACACGGACGCTGTCAATATTTGAAGGAACCTGGAGCTGCTTGCAGGCTCGTGGAAATTGGTGCCTCTATCCGAGCGGATATGCTTCACTGGACCACGTATGGAAATGAACCATCTGAGGGGAGAGAGACGTTTAAGGTCATGTGATCGGTTGCCTGGAAGATGTCGCCTCTGCCTCTTGAAGGGGGAAGGGGGCATCATCCTTTCGGAACCCTTGTTTCATGGTCTTTATGAAGACCTTGTCTTCAATCGAGGGAGCTATTTTGTTATCTTCCTTAGTTCTTTGGAACACTGTACACCCAAGATGGTCTTCTCCTTTGTCACAGGCGGTGTCATCACTGAAGTAGCTCTGTGTGGGGTCAGTTGACGTAAAGTCGCTGTATCTTTCTTTGATGAGGAGGTGATTCGGACAAGGTTGAAAGAGAGATGGACGACCGTTCTCTAGCTTGCTTGTGAAGAGAGTGTTCACCATGGATGGCTTATGAACATTTCCCAAACAGACGTCTCCCACGATGACCCATCCTAGATCGAGCCTCTGAGCATAGGGTCCATCGTGAGGACCATTGATCTGTTCCCGCACCTTGTGTACTCTTATTATGTCCCTTCCAAGGAGAAGCAGTATTGGGGCTTGGTTGTCCATCTTAGGAATCTGAAGAGCTACAGATTTCAGGTGTGCGTGGTGGAGCGCAGCTTCTGGAGTGTCACAACAAACATGTCACAACAAAGTATACTGTGGGATTTGGATAATTCTACGCATTAATACCAAACTGATGAGTGATATACCTGCTGTATCAGCACACACTAACATGCATCTGTCTGCACAAACACACTCCTTGGCGCATACAAGGCTATTAAACCCTATTGAGCGTCCCATCTGAATCCATGAAAAGGCTATAATCATATTCAGGGTCATTGACATTCAGATAGGTAACACGGCTGTTACTGTGGTGCAGCAGAAAGACGTTTCACTCAAAATCTCCCCTTCCCCATTTCATCTGCTCCTTTTTTTCCTCTCTCCATCTTCTCCTGACGTTAAAATTAATCACTTCTCCTCTAATCTTTTTGTCATTTCCTCCCTTTTCTGTCTTTATCTTTCTGTTTGGTGCAGGTTTTTAAAGTCCACTGGAAGGTGATTTGTTAATCCTCGAGGTGTGAGCTCCCAGCATCAGAGTCGGAGCAAAGGATTAAAGTTAGAAATACTCACAGAAGATTATTTTATTAGTTTAACAACGTGTCAGAGCTTTACTCTGCCACCACTACCATGTTTCGGTTCTATCATCACCCTGTATGAGTCAGCTGGTCAGAGGTCTGTATTGCAGTTTTCTATATAGGGAATCAATTAGGTGAATAAATGTGTGTAACATAATATAATCAACAGCACAACAAACTAACGCCTCAAAAATAACCATAAGTACCTCTATAAAATTCAACAAAATATAAAAATGTTAACCTTCTTGAAATTAGCATTTATGTGAAACTGTACTCAGACCCGGCGGCAGACCTGAATCCATGGGGGGGGCATTTGATTGGGAGGTTGGGCCTAACGTACAATTATAAAACGGACAAGTAAAATCAAGCAATCTGATTGGTTCTTAGCCGTGATATAATGAGCGTATATCACGGGTAGGATTGTAGTTACTTTTACTTTCAAGTCATGTATCCCTCCGCGTCTGAGAAAAGCTACAACCGTTACAACTGTTACATTACGTCCATTACGAAACTAACTAACTAACAAAGCTTAAGATGGAAACATTTAAGGTTAACTTCGACCTCCGGGGGGGTCTTACTATGGAGGAGTGGATTGAGGAGTGCCATATCTCCAGAAAAAAAAAGCACCTAAATGATGACATGCAGAGCTACGTGAAGAGCAGGTAGACCAACTGGAGAAGTACCACCATTCAAAAGCTTTCTGATGCGGGTCTTGAAACAAAGCAGAGAAATTATGACCGTCAGTGGCCACAAGTGCGAAAGCTCTCTCCAGAGCTACTGGAAGCCAAATCTCGGGGACCGGAGAAAGTGGAGAAATATTCTCGCCACGCCAAGCAACAGCCTAGAACAACCTCAACCTATACAAGTAACCTCGTAAGCCAGTCTACTGATGCTGGAAAGTTTTTCAGTGGGAGCACAATAAACGCTTAAATATAAGGTAGCGCTGACCACCAGATTCACACACAGATTTAATTCAGAGACCTACGTTTATTCTGACAAAACTTTTTTCTAAAATATAGTGGAAACTAAATATATTTATATTGGATTTACTCAGTATTTTTTTATTGTATTCAATATTACATTCAAGTATTGTTTTGTGTTTTTCCGTTACCTGACATCAACGGCATGTATAATATTAGAATATTTTTGATATATCCAAGAAAATTCCTCATTTGTTTAAACCTACTTGGTAATAAAACCAATTCTGATTCTGACTCTGATTTATATTTAAGACTGTAAAAAATATAATGTTTTACAAAATCCAACTTCAATTTGTTTTGACTTTTGTTAATCTGTGTGGTTCTTCTCGCGTCCAGGAAAGAGATGCTTAAAAAGGAGACTAAATGGAGTCTCTGAGATTGTTTCAAAATTGGTACTTTAATTAATAAAAAGCGTGGTAAAGTCACAAACAGGATATTGTTCGACAGAAAAGCAGCTGTCTCTGGCTCTCACTAGCAGAGAAAAGAGGCCGAACCCCTCAGGTCCGGTTGTTTATATATTCTCTACTGGCTCCTCCCTGCGGGCCGGCTCTCCAACGTTTTAATGTCCGTTGTTACGCATATCAGAGGATACAGACATTGTACATTCAATATATATTTAAACACGCCTTTTCTCCTCCTTAACTCTTTCATGACTTTTCATTTAACACATTCTAAACGCTATAATCAATACTCCAAAAATACAGGAAATACTTCACAGCAGTTTGGTTCCCGGTCGTTCCGAATGTTGTCGCATGCTACCCACATCTGTAAACAATAACGTACTCAAATAAACTGTACCTTAATTTAATATCCAACAATAATAATATCTCGACGTCTATAGTTGTAGCGTTGAAATCAGTAGGTTTCGGTGTGCAACATCATATCATATCGCTGCTAAATTCACCTCTATAGGAAATGGTATATTAGCCTCATGCTAAATGCTAACCGGAGATGAAAGATTTTCAGAATAAAAGCTTAACAACTGGTTGTGCACAAGAACTTCTGGTTTTTCAGTATAAAACAGCATTTAAACTGAAGGTACATTTAAGGTACATTATGCCATCAAAACATTGATTTTAATTTCTAACACTTTACCTAGTTTGCAGTTGGGTATTTTTCTGAATATTTCCCATCACATCCTCTACTCACTTGGTGAAAACTTTGAACTGCATCCTACATATTTTTATTTGCACTGGTGCGCATTTCTTCTGCGTCAGTGTTTTTGAAATAAAGGACCCTGGGTGTTTCTCAATGTCGAGGACGCTTCCTTGGTATGACATGTCTTCCGAGTCAGGTCCTTCAGAAGCGGGGCAAGAATCCTTCCTAGCCTCGGAAAACGAACAATGGTGGAACAGGCTAACAGGTGTGCAAGTGTGCGTCATATGCGAGGCCCCGCCTTAAATGGAGCGCGATTTCCGCCAAAGATTTTGGAAATTGGTCCGTGCGCAAAGCATTGTGGGGATTTTAAGACCGCGGAGGATACATGTGCAGCCTCGAAATTTCCCGCAACGAAGGACGCCGGCCTCAGTAGAATCCCAAGGACCTGGACATTGGAACAGTCCTTCGGCGGGACTCGATGACGTAGCATCCTTGAAATAGTGGCTCTGGAGGAGCCTTCCTCGACATTGAGAAACACCCTCTGTCTCTGCTCTCCTCAGAGGGATCAGGTACTCACGTCGTAGCCGTTGTTGCGGATGCCCCTCCGGGATCGCTCTCTCAGCACCAGCAGGTCCATCTCCGCCTCCACCGGGCTCCGGCAGCTCAGGGACTGCCGGCTCCAGTATGTGGGCTCCCGTGGGTGGGAGTACCTGGATGAAGAGGTGTGAGGAAACACACTGTAACTACAGCTCAGGGCTGTACTGTAGATACTCATCTGCTGCATTTTAGTGGAGGTTCTAGAACATTTTAAGTTGAAACCTAAACCTGAGGGGATTGAACTCCCTTCACAATCACATTCATGATCGCACTAATCTGTCCATATTTAAAACACAAATCAAAACTCACCATTTCAAAGTTGCTTTGAATCTGTGACTAATATTTAAAAAAAAAAAATTTGTAATAATTATTTGGGGAATTTGATCCTGTATATGTATAGTGTCTTCGAGCAGCGCTAATTAAACATGTATTATGCATATTATTGTTAGTATAATTATTTGTATTATTACTTTGTAATTATTGTTATTATTAAAAACTGTTGGGACACATTTTCTCAGTCTTACCTTATTAATCAGTAGTTTGATTTAACATGTTAAGCCTCAGAAATCAATGGACAGGTCATTTAAAAGTGGAAAGTGAGCAACATTAAATTCCATTTTTACATAAAAACCTGAGTGGTGCTTCATGCTCTGGTGTTTCTGCACATCCCTGACGTCGCTTGTCAATCATATGACTTCACACATCCACAGATTGAGAAGGCAAACAGCTGCTTTACATAATCTGAACAGTAGCCTAAGTATAAAACCGGGTAAAGGTTGTGTTAATTCAGTAACTGACACAGGGAGGCAAAACAAACACTTGTCTGTATGAACGTTAAAATATTAATGTGCTGACCAAATATCACCCCTCACTCTACTCACTCCTTATGTGTTGCTAAGCAACTATGCTCTACAGCTGCACATCGACAGCAGTCTGTGGTTCCCGGTGGAAACCTTGTTAAGCACTTTATACTAACACTTCTTGAATAATGATGAAATGGAACAAAACTAGGATATCTGATAGAGTAGGGCTCATATAAGGGTATACTGGGGGCAGCTGCAAGTACTTTAAGTAAAAGTACAAATGCTATGGTCTCAAAATACTCCACTGCAAGTAAATGTCACTATTTCAAAATGTACTCATTCTGCACAATGACCCGTTTTAGAATAATATAGAACAGAATCATTATCAGTTACAGTATCACAAGGAAAAGTTCTCATTACACAGAATAGATCTTTTCACAGTATATTATTATTATGGTTGCTTGTTACTGTTGTTTACTGTATACATGTAGGACCAATTTAGTATTTGACAACAGTTTGGCAATGTTGGAAAACTTAGATACTAGAAATACTGTGTAGATTAGTACTGTAGTACTGTACTGATTTATACAATATCTGCACATCGTGTGTTTCTATTTGTACAAAGTAACTAGTAACTGTGAGTGTTAAAATAAATGTAGTGGAGTAGAAGTATAAAGTAGCATTAAATGGAAATACTTATGTCAAAAAGTACTTAGGTACAATACTTAAGTAAGTGTACTTAGTTACTTTGCACCACTGCCTGAAGTTAAGTATGAACAGAAAATAACACTTATGTTATTAAACATATGTGTGTAATCTGGCTCTGACACTAGATGATACTAGATACTACCCCCATTAACCCCCCCACTGCCTCACTGCAGGTCACTGCACCTTACCTCTTATGACACCCAGCGAACGAGGCCCTCTTCTCCTCAGCGGTCAGTGGCTCCTTGACCCCGTTGTCGTGCCGACTGTGCCTGGCGTCGCGGTGACTGTAGCCGTGGCTGCCGGTCTCGGACAGAGAGAACTCTCCGTAGCCTTTCCTCCGGGACTTCTGCCGCAGCTTGTTCTTGTAGTGCTCGATGTCCGACTTCTGCTTCAGCCCTGCGTGGTTCGCCTGCAGACAATCCATCAGAGGAGGAAAGGAAATTCATTTTCATGCTCCATCTGCTATAAACAACCAATTGAGATGGTTTTTTATTTTTTTATGATGGACTGTTCCTCTGTTTTAAATGTGATACCAAACACTCCCTACAGCTCCATACTCACAGAATGTGTCACACCCTAACATGATATTTTCTGCTAACGCACACTCGATCAATCGCAACTGAACTGGAAACCAGAGAAGGTCAGAGGCAATGTTCTGGTCTTATGTTTATAGATTGAGGGATCATTTATCTTCAGCCTGTGTATCTCTGTCTCAGCTGCAGAGAGGTGCAGAGAGAAATGGAATAAAGAGGAAGGGAGGAAAAGAGTGAGAAGTGACTAAAGGACCGCTTCACCCACACACAAAAACAGATTCAAGAGGCCCTGTTATGTTTTTGGACTTTTTTAAGTAGCGTGCAAGTAAATCGCCTGAAACGCCTCCATTGGATTATTTTGTTTGCTTACCTGACATTCTATTGGCTTACGCTCCAACAGTTTATAAATGATAGTCTAAGGAGCGGGACATCACTGAGTGGTTGACCAATCACAACAGAGCCTGCCAGCTAACCAATCAGAGCAGACTGGGTGAAAAGAGGTGCTGCAGCACAGGCAGTTTGAGACAAATAAAGAGCTTTTTGCACATTGAAATATGTTAACATGTTACAATAGAGGGACAAAAATATGTCGTCTTTAATGGAGAGGTGTGAGAGAGGTTGCCCTGGAGCAGTTGGAGGTTCTATAGGAATTATTATACTAAATGTGACAAATATTTATGCAGTATTAAAACCTTGACCTTGTAAGTCATTATAAAATACTTGATGTTAATGGCCTAAGACCATTTTTAAACATTATTATTTATCAGGGCTTAAAATAACACACTATAACACAGTAAAGGCATACAATTAATACATCATGATTCTGCCTTATACTGTCAACGCTGCAGGATCACCTCACAGCTGAGTATGATAAGCCTTGAGGGTGTGTGTGCATTATGGATATGTGTGTGTGAGCAGACTCACCTCCCCATTGAGGACCACAGAGTCCTGGCTGTGGGAGGAGGAGGAGGGGTAGGAGTAGGTGGGCTGAGCAGTCATTGGTTTGATGGTGATGAGACGCAGGGAGCTGGAATGGTCTTCATAGGGGTCTGAGAGGAAGAGGAAAACAAATAGGTTAGACAGAAACATTACTTCCAGGAAGCTGAGATCAATTACACATTCGGCCAATTCCCTGTAATTCAAACACAAATGTTGTTCAATCATCCGAGTATAATTGTAAAATGTAAGAACAAAACTTTACCAATGCATGAGTGTCTGTACCAGGACCTGCATCTACCTCCTGGTGTTGTGTTGTGTTGCTTCCATTGGCCTTCACTCCAAAAATAAAATGACTCAAATGTAAAATGCTTTGGTTGTCAGGGTAACTCTTGACATTAGAGCAATACACTTCTAACTATGTTTGGGTCCCATGGCTCAGACTTCACAAATCACTACTGAGTGCAGTTTTTTGTTGTATGGCTCGATGAGTAAACATCATCTGTATGGCGTGAGGTCAGATCGCGCAGTAAATGAGGCTCTGTCTGTATGTAATAGTGTGTGTGTGTGTGTGGTTCTGCACTGGCTCCACTGTGACTCAATGTCTGCCTTTAGCCCAGCTCATAACCCACACTGTCACCATGGCGCCTGCAGCTCAGCACACTCCACTGTTACCGTGGTGACCCTCACTGAGTGACATGTAGGTCAGGACAGGTGGTTTTAGGAGCAGCAGAGGCTGTGAACCAGGTCCCACACCAGGACACTGTGTGGATAACATGTACTCCCCCATAAGACGTAATACTACTGTCACAAGAGCTGCTGAACATGGGAGGGTTGATTTAAATATATGTATATGTACTGTGGTGGAATGTAACTACATGTACTCAAGTACTGTACTTGACTACTATTTTATTATGCCATTTTGTACTACATTTTCGAGGCAAAATAGTGTACTCTTAATACATTAATCCAACACTCATAGTTCCATGCTTCTTTTACATTAAAAATCAAATGACATATTTGATATATCATGCAGTACTCTACTCCTTAGAAAATCATTTTAAATTGGATAAACATTGACAAACTACAACATTAAAAGCTCTTACATATATTTATAAGCGAATAAACGCAACAATATAGTATTTTATAATAATATGATACATTCAAAAGAGCCATTGTGCATAATGAGTACTTTTACTTTAGATACTTGCATTTGTGTGATAATACTTCCTTTCATCTACTTACAGTAAGTAACATTTTGAAATCAAGACTTTACTTGTTATGGAGTATTTTCCGACCAAAGTATTTCTACTTTTACTTAAGTAAAGGATCTGAGAACATCTTCCATCTCTCTCTCTCTCTCTGACTCACTTTAATAAAGAAAATGTGTTGTTTAATGTCCTATGGGATAAACATTATAACTTATTCACATATTTCCTTGACTGTATTTTCCCTAATGTCTGCAGTGATCAACATATTTCAACTCAATAAAGTATTGAATTGAGTCCTTTAGCCACACAAGCATATTTGTTTCCCTTAATTTGACTATGTATTTGCATTCACAGCTCGCAGAATACCGAAAGGCCATTGGCATTTACATGTATCCGTGCACAGAAAAGGCCACGGAGTGATGTGATGATAAAGATCACTTTGAGTGTCTCATTGATACCAATACCTTTATTTAATGTCATCCTCCTTTTCCCTCACCTTTAGCATTTCTCTTCAAGGTCAACTGAATCAAGTTGCTTTCAGGCTAACAGTCTGTACTGTAGCTTTAAGAAGGCAAGACATATGCTAATGCTGAAGCAGTGATATTTATATATAGAGCAACTAGGTGTCCCAACCTTCTTAAATTGCCGATGTTTCTGCCGTTTTCGACTACATTGCTCCTTATTATCCTTCATATGATTAATAATGAAATCCTTCTTTCCCTCCTTTTTTATTAATCTGTCATTTTCCTGAACACTTTCCAGCGTTCCCCTGTCTGCATTTCTTTAATCTGTCCTTTTTCCTCCTTCTTAAAAAACCAATTCTGTCCATCTCTTCCTGAGAAAATGAAACAAATGTTCTTCTTCTCCTCCGGGGATTCGTTCAGTTGCTTGCATAAACACTATAAATCACACAAATTACTGTTAACCTTGGTGTGCTGATGCAAAAGAGATTGGAAAATCACAGCGTCCCAACATTTCTCCGAACAGAGGCAGCTGTGTGGCAGCGTTATCCGAGATCTGAGCGATGTTTATGCAACCAATTGTGAGCGTGCAGAGCCGGAAACACATCTGCTTGTAATCTGCTCAACAAGTCATGTCGTAGATACAGTTCATTTACCTGCACCAGGTGCGCAGATAAAAGCCTGTATCGTATAATCATGAGTTTGAATAGGACTCGTTGTCAATATAAGAATATGATTATTCACACTGGAGAGGGAGCTGTGTGGATGCATACTAATAATCCAAGCAACAGCCATATGAAGTGACTTTTTTAACATTCCAAAAAATGCATGTTTTGCATCAATGCGTTGTGGAAACAAGTATAATTTTAAATCCTAGTGGAGTGCTTAAAAATGCCAAGTATGTTAGTCTAATGTAATTTAGCTGTATGCAACATAAGGAGTTTTTGATTTCCGTTTCAGTTATCAAATAAACTTGGAAATGTATGACCCACAGATATGCATTGTATACATGGGAGGCTGTGGCTCAGTGGAAGTGAGCTTATCTTTAGATCAGGGGACCACTGGTTCAATCCCCACTACAGTCAGCAGTTTTGTCCTTGAGCAAGACACTTCACACCAAATTGCTCCCGTGGGGATTGCCCACAGTAGTGAGTGTTAATGGCGCAGTTTCCACTACAGCGCGGTCTAAGCATGACGTGCGAGGCCCGTTTTTGGTTGCGTTTCCACTAGGCGTAGTACCGGCTAGCGGGTACTATTTCACAGTTTTTCTGGCCCCATAAAATCGAGGTTCTTAGCGGGCCAACAACCAGGCTGAGTCGGGCTGAGTATGCTAAACTAGAGAGAGAATCGCTGGCAAGGCGGCTACAACTACAACAAGATGAACATATTTGACCGTGATTTAATTGTAATACACGTTTCAAAATGATGCCGAAGTAACAACATACTGATACCGGTTAGTAAAAACCATGAATTAATGCTTTGACAAGTCTGCAGACAGACGGCAGGCGAAAAACCCTTTTAAAATGCGTGTTTTCTGAATGGAGCTTGGCTAAGCTAATGTTATATATGCTCCGACCGTCCACACTCACAACAACGGCCTATACAGACATAAATAAACCAGCGACTGTATTCGCCATGACACAGACAGTCTGTGGTTTGTTCTTGTTTAACTTTTGTCTAGTTTCTGAACAGATATGAGGAGCTGTGAGCTCTGAGTGCTAAGAGCTAACGGCTGATGTTGTTTTTCTGTGGTTCTCATTGACGATGACGTCACGGCTCTGCCTACACTGCGTTACTATAGTTACTGCCCCAGCTACTAAACTGTAATGGAAACGCAGCATAAAGTGAGCCTGGCCTAACAAGGCCTAACTATGCCGTACTAAGCCGAGCGAGGCCCTGCAATGGAAATGCGCCATAATTCACTTTGGGTAAAAGCATCTAACAAGTGAAACTAAATGTATAACAATTTATTATTGCTGAAGCAGAAATAGGATAACACTGGTCAGGGTTCATACACTTTTTCACCAATGATTTTCAATGACTTTTCCATGACTTCTCCATGACCGTTACCTAATTTTCCATGACCAAAAAAATTACTCTTTCTTACCACTGAAACATTTTTATTTTAACATGGTAAGCTGGAAAATAAGGTCTGCATATGAAACATGTTGTGCCTATCTAAAACAAATCAAATAGTAGGCTTACTAGCTCCTACAGACTAAAGCCACTGTAGACTAGAGGGTGTGATTGTAAAAATCTCTCACCAGCAAAATACCTCTACAGTTAAATGCCATTTTACGTTTCATTACTAAACGATACAGTATTTATTATCGTTATAGTATTACTATTTCGGCGATTAGATAAAATATAAATTATATTTGATGCAACTTTAGTTACATTTCCATGACTTTTCCAAAACTTTGGGAAATAAATTGTTTTCCATATGGTCCTTTTCAGAATAATATGCATGTAATAAATTATTATAATGCATTCATGTATTTAGCCACTCAATGTTATGCAAAGGTAGTGTTTATAGTTTATATAGTATAATGCTAGGAAGCTTAACCTATAATAATACAACATACTTTATTAGTTCATTTATATTTTGTATTATTCATATTTATCTGCAAAGTAAAACTGTAAATTGATGCGGTGGATTAAAAAGTACAACTATTTTCTCAAAAAATAATCAAGCAAAAGTATAAATAAGTAGGGAAGTTCTAGTACCTTACATATTGACTTATTTGACACATTTGTACAGCTTATTAAACAGATTTGCAGAAGTTCCTGCTACAGTGCGAGTCTGCAGGAGCACGTTTTGCCATGATGACACATCTTCTGTGTCTGTCAAGGGATGCTATTGGGCTGAGAAATACTTCTTCCCATTAACTTGCATCAGGAAAGAGACGTCTGTAAATGAGCGTATATATAAATATATATATTTACAAGTTAAATGCATTGCCCAGTACAAACTCTTGAATAGCATGTAAATCAGTAGGAGCTAAAAGTTGTAAAATGTTCTAAAAGCTGAATACAGAACAATCCCCCTATAGTCCCCGCCTGCTGCGCTGTATCAAGTTCTCTGAATACATCCCAGTGACTCATACACAGACTCACAAGGTGAGAGCGACACCATCGTTGCTGTTTCAGCTGGTATAATGACAGTGCTGATTTGTTTTTCATAGCTCCTCAGAGTTTGTCTCACAGGTTTAACGATGAGTCATTTAGCTAACGCTCAAACCATATGCTGTGGGTTGTATGCATCGAAAAACACCTAATCTGACGGAACGCTGTCACAACTCTCAGAGAACTCCCCAACTTTGTTGTCTTTCCTCAGTGATTCCAATCTAAAGTAACTTGATGCTGTGCTTATGTCTGCCATCTTTTAGCTCTCATCTCTATATTACATTTTCAGCAATTCATACTGGAACAAAGTCAGATGAAAACACTGAAATACAAACACCTGAGATGTCTCTCTTGATTCAGTTATGAGTGAAAAGACATGTGATGAGTGTGTGTTGTCACTGACGATGACAGGAGCTAGCTGAGTCACGGCATGTACTGTATGAGTGTGTTTGTGCTCATGTGTACTTTATTACATCTTAGTAATCATCCTTTGGGTAAAATATAATAGTGTAAGAGTGTGTGATGTGTGTGTGGAGGGTGACCAATACTTGTTTATTACCAATGACAGTCTTTCTAGTGGTTGCAGACGTAAAGGAAATGATTCATCTATTTATGTGTTTGTCTGTCTATTAATCTCAGAGTTTTTCCATCACTTATATTCTCTTTCATCTTTTATCCTTTCTGTATCGATGTATCTCTCTCTGAGCCCCCCTCTCCATATCTCACCCCCCCCCCCCCCCCCTCACCATTGGTGCTCCTCTCCTTCCCGTTCCTGCTGCTGCTGCCGGTCGCCGTCCTCCGGGCTGAAGAGCTCTTGCTGGTGTTTAGCTTCGCGGAGCCGTTGCTCGACACCGAGCCGTCCTCCTCGCTTGGCAACGGCCTGTAGTATCCATGGCAACAGAGTGAAGCAAGAACAGGAAGGAGAGCTTGTGAGTCTCAGGGTGTACAGAAGCAGTGCAACATCTCAAGGCTAATACTGGAAACATACTGGCAAACTTTAAATGTTATAAAAGAAACCTGAAAAGGAGCACGATATAAAACTCAGTTAATGTAATTTGAGCATGTTTTCGTTATGTGTTTTCTTCCCTTTACTTTTTCTCATATGTCTTTTACTTCTTTTGTTATAGAGCTGCAACTAATAATTATATTCAGTATTGATTATTTTGCCTATTTATTTATTTTTTCAATTGGTTTGGTCTATAAAAGGTCAGTTTCACAAAGTGCAATGTGATGCTTAAAATGTCAAAAAAATTCAAAGACAAAAAGGGGGAAATCTCCATATTTGAGAGCCATTTTTTTGCACTTAAATGTGTTATTTTCTTTTGATTATGTTTCTCTTGATTACCTAATTGATACGTTCATAGTTGTTGCAGCAATAGAACAAAAGGACAAAATGTCAGTCAAATCCCGCCAGAAATTCTAGTATGATCACAGAATTCTGATGCTATCAATGCTATTAGCATTCTGGCAGTACTCCCTCAAATCAAAATGTATTACAATGTTGGTTTTCATAACTTGCTCATGTGTTTTGGAATGATAATAATTGTTTGGTTGCAGTTACAGAGTGGTGCAGGAATGAGTCCTGAAATCCTGAAACAAATTCGCCTTTTATCCATTTTGGTTCCCTCGTCTCGAAATCAAAGTTTTGCTGACGTGTTTTTGGTTACATGCATGAAAGAAGGTCTAGGGATAAGGCAAGCCAAGTGGATTTTCATATTTTGTTCTATATAATACGTCGGTAAATACCTAACTCGTGAATCTCTGAAGCCTCTATGTGCCTTAAATAAGTATAACTAAACGCCATCACACCGAACATTAGCCGCCGTTAGCTTAGCGGTTGTGATTTAGAGCCATGCAACCTTGATGTTATAGCCTAACATTAGATTTTTTTTTATAAAGTGGTTTTGATATATGGAGATAATCATTCTGACAAAATGTATGTGTAAGCATCATACATTTGTCTCTGACACAAAGCTTATTTTTGAGCCCGTGAAATGCTAAGTTCTAGCTCAACCTACACAAATAAGTCCTCACTGCACCACTCTATTGTGAGACATTTATTTGCTTTTCTATTTATACAACGATCCTATATGAGAGCATAGGAAATGTGCGGACACACTGGAAAAATGTAAAAGACAAGTGGAACAGCAACAACCCTGATTTTGTTGGGCAGGTTGTTGAACAGCCAAGGGCTTAGAAGCAGCTCAGTATATGAATGCATGCCAAACCAAATACACACACAAAAACTTGACTGTTGAGGAGCCAACATACTGGTGCAGAAACATGTATGAAGACATGTATGCTTTGTTCTTGCCTCAGGTAAACCAGGCACATAACCACGTACAGGACACACACAAACACACATGCACACACACACACATGTTTGGCCTACAGGCATGTAAGCGGCAGCAGCAAAAACAACATGACAGGCGTGTCTACATGTGGTGTGAGATTCACAAATCAGCAACACCGGACATTACAGAGCCACAGGCGAGGATAACACCCTGACTGTGCACACACACACACACACACACACACACACACACACACACACACACACACACACACACACACACACACACACACACACACACACACACACACACACACACACACACACATACACACACACAGCAGCAGCAGCGGTCAATGGCTGGCCGAGTCTCAGTCAAAGTCATGTGGAATTAGACAAAGAGTAGGAGGGTGGAGGGATGAATACAGTGTGTGTGTTCCATATGAGCCTGCGCAGGAAGGCCAACAGAATGGATAATCATGCCGCTGGAAAGTAACGTTCATCTCCCGCCTCTCTTTGTGTGTTGTGCCTCACACTCTGCAGCCCTCTGGAGAAGGCAGCAGTGAGCAGAATAAATGCTCCTGTCTTTCCACGTACCGCCGCGGTTAGCATTCAGCTCACACCTCTCTGTTTCCTCAGACAGGTGAATGGTTGTACAGCTGGAACAGTCGCTGTTGGTTCTAACATTGTTTGGCTTGTTTAACTCATATTGGGTCAAGGAAATACCACAGCTGATTTGCATCGTCTACAAATGTCTCACTGTTAGGCAATAATTCAAATAAATCTTATTCTCTTTTTTTTTTTTTAAGGTATGGTATTCTCAATATGTATGGATAGTATTTTAAGGGTATTATGTGGCGTAACAGAGTCATGGACCGTATGATTTTTGGAAACCCAATTTAGATTATGTTAAGATAAAGTGTTAAAGCATAGTTGGATAATGGTTCATGTGTGATAGCTTACTTATTTTACAATGTTTTAGTTACTATATATTCAACAATTCCATTCGAATGACGATTTACAATACAAGATTTCCGAACAACATTTCTATCTAGGCAGGACTTGGTTGGACACACCCATCAGGGCGGATTAAGTGATACATAGAAACTTTTTAATATCTCTTTCTATAATGTTTTAAGATACTTACATTTACAGTCTGAGCCTGTAAATGGCAAAAATAAACTTTTAGTGGATGTACATTGATAACATTGAATGCGCAATTGCTCCAATATAATTAATGTAGTCAATTAGTCACAGAAAGCGGAGAAAATAGGGTGCAGGTTGAAAATAACCAAAGATACCCTTCAAATGAAAGGTGTAGAGAGTGAAGAGTTCACTGTATAGTCAGTAGGGGGTGATTTTGAACATACTAAATGTCTTTGTCTTATATTTATTTGGTCAACTAGTTTGTTTATTCTTCTCCCTGCTTCTTTGCAACCATAGAATGTGCAGAATATATTTGTAGGTGTGACCAGCAGCTCTAAAGGTTGCTTTGTAGGTCAGTTGGAAAGGTCACACAATTTTCCCCAACAGTTGTTAATGTTAACCTACAGTATGATGCCAGAATTTGGCCTAAGTGTGTATCTGTGGACGTGTGCACTTGTGTTTATGCCAATAGAGCGGTGCAGAAATGAGTCCTAATCCCAGAAATGAGTTAGCATTTTTACTACTTCAAGGCTCCCTCATCTAGAGATGTTGGTTAGTTTCCTTGAATATTGTCTGTAGTTAATACAAGCTTACAGCATTTTATTGTTTTGTTTAATGAAATGAAGTTAGTGATAACCCCACTGAAACTTTTATGTGTGTAAGTGGCTAAACTAGATTGTTAGACATTACACCAACTCAAGTCCAACTCAAGTCCAACAAGTGGGCAAAAATACAAAGGAAATGCATTAATGCGCTATTGGCAAACAGGGGTGTGACCAAAAGAGTGACCAATATCAAATGACACATTAATTCACGGGCCACTGAACTGTCTCTGAGTCATACAATTAGATTAACGGAGTGACTTTTTAAAAAGTTGTTTGCACTACCCACCACACAGCCCTTTCCATAGTTCATGACCTGTTTCTTGTAAGCAACACCCACTTTGACTCATTAACCCTTTCTCGTCGACACTTGTGGTTAACAGCTTCTTTTAGATAGTTTATATTGTAGTTCATTATTGATTTTAATGGTACATTGGAAGTTAATACTGTGGTGACATAAATGAGAAGTGAATCAAAAGTTTCGAGAGGCATGGCTCTACAAATGGCGAGTGAGTGAAATTGGGTTTTTCTCTAGCTTCTTATCATATTCATTGTTTGACAAAGACGCAAACAAAGTCATTGTGTTCCCATGAATCTCGGCTGTCCTTTGTGCTTAATGCTAATGTATTTGTTAGCATAATATGCTAGCATGTTGTCTGGACCCAAGTGACTTAAATCTCTTGTTATTTATACTGAGTTCCCCATATACATATATGGGAGTATTCAATGAATGAATAAGGGAGTGAATCCAGCTTTAGTTTTTAGTTTTACTCCTGAGTTTTTACATATGGGCCCTGTTCTAATCTAACTTTGATTGTCTGATTTAGCACACCAAGCCTGTCTGTGCATGTGAAAAGAGAAAATACCTTAGAAGTGTGTTCAGTACCACTATAAAAGTACCATAATAATTGCATCTTGTTGTTACTGTGGTGTGAAATCCCCCTCTTATCCTATCACGTTGCTTTCTGCAGACGTTCCTATTGAGTGTACACCCAGGTGGTAGAAAAACCCATGATACCTTTCTTTGAAAATGGCTCCAGATAAGATACATATGTGCGTATATGCAGGTTTGTAAAGCTGATTATCGCACTGTGCCAGCTCTTCCGGCATTTTTACTCTGTCATCATTGTTGCACTGAATGGCTCCCTCTGGCATGGCTTTAGCCAGGGTTATAAATATACATGTGTTTATCATCCCCAGGAAGCAAAGCAAAACTAATCCCACCTCTTTTCATTTTCCTTTAGAAAGTATGTGTGAATATGAGGCGCTGTGTTTGTGAATTAGCATTTCTGTGAGAGGAGGCATCTCATTTCTGACTTCCCAAAAGAAAGATGTCGCTGTGTCTGGGTGTAGCTCTAAGTAAAGGAGTGGAAGTTTTAAGAAATTGTTTTAGCATTTTGTTCTAAATGATATTTATTTCATTCATAGAAAGGATTATAATTATAATCCCAGTTAAATCTATTGGGGATAAAACTGTTTAGACATTTAGGTAAATGCTTTTAAAACTGCAAGATTACGACAGATGTTGACAAATCATTGCTGGTGCATAAGAATAGCAGTAACAAAGAAGATTAGTGCAGAAAAATGAATGGTAAAGACAGATGGAATATATGGAAGAATTGTATAAATTAAATGCCAGGATGAGTCAAATAAACATAAAACGCAACCTACATTTAGCAATATCCGCCATAGCTTTCTAATCTCATGTACAGTAATCCTAGACAGTAGAGTACCCAGTGAACCAAACTAATCCACTTTATGCTCTCAGTGCCTTTCAGGACAAACGGACATCTGTTTATCGGGCAGTTTGGGTCGTAAGAATGTGATTAACATTTTGGC